AATTAGCTTAGCTTTGCCCAGGATGTAGAAACGCTGCCCTTGAAGAATGGTGTCAGAAAGGAACTAATATTGGTGGAACACTTGCTCTTTTGGAGAGGAGTCCTTGCATTGAAAAAGCTCATGGTCTAAACTTACCTCTTCAGAGTGTTGGCTGCCACCTTGAAACTGTATCTCATAGCCATGGGAATTCTGAAAACAATGATAGCAGAAAGCAGAAAGGGTGTCGAATTTTCAAACAATAGACATCCAGTGTTGTGTAAGCAAAGTCTAGAGACCCTGAGTCAGACCAGCCTGGCTCTACTCAAACCTCAGAACAGAAGTAAATATCATAAAATATACATAACTGAAGACAATTTAAGTGCTTAATTTGTCACCTTTGTATAATATAACCAATTCTCAGAAACTGTATTTGTAGCAGCAGTAAAACATGCAAACACTGGCGAGACTGCCCGGAAGAACAACAGGAGTAGAGGTGATTTTATTTGTTTAAATTGGACACAGAATAATTCTTCAATGGCTATGTGTGGGCTAGCAATCTCAAATACTCAAGGGCGCAGGAATATCTCCTTCGCCTGAAATCAGTACTCCGGAAAAGGATGAGATGATTGACAGCTTTATTTCCATAGCGGCCACCGAGTCAAAGCATATTTCCTCAATCAATAAATCATTATTTGTATAGCGCCAATTCATAACAAGTGAGACGCTTTCCAAGGAGCAGGTCAAAGACCATACTTCTTGTTAAGAAAAATGGGATACGATACAGGAAGGATTCCTCCTTTGTATTCCTTGCATTCCTGTTGTCCACACTTCCTTGCCGCTGAGGTGGAGGTCGGAGTAGTCCGTGCAAGAATACTGAGTTTCCCATTACTGATGGGTTTGATTAAAGATGAGGTACAACTTTTATATTAAAAAATAAAAATCATTTAGGCTCCATGGCGATGAAAAGCACTGCATGTTATAACTTTGAGTAGAATGAGATGATCAGTTGTGGACAGATTGACTGATACGGGAAGATAACGGGGGAGGGAAGGGAGTCACAGTCGACTGTTGGATAGAGCAGAGGCTCATGGGTAGTGTCTCGAACTTGAGCCAGCTCCCCCCCCTAATCTGGAATCTAATAGGAACAAATGTGTCTTTGTGTGCCTATGTGTGTGTCATACCCTGCCTGTCCTACTCTGTATAGATACGTGCACATATTATCATCTGTTAAGAACCGACTGCACTATTTTTGATCTCTTTGTCGTGTTAAAAAGCCAATGACTTTTACAGGTTTAAAAGTATAAACATGATATAAACCTGTTTTCTTGCAGGATTCTCTTCTGCTTTGGCATCTCAATTTTCTGCAATTATCAAGGCTGTCCCACAATCCAAAGCACAGAAACCACAGGGCTCCCATAAAAAGACCTATCTTTAAATGAGCAGCTCACCACATGTTTATTATCAGTCCATAAAGCAACACAAAACTGTCTTTGACCACATGCAAAACTGCTTCCCAAGTACAAGTTTTATGATAACTTGATTCTCTGAGTAGGCAGCTTTTATACCGTAAGTACAAGTACAGTAATGTTTATCGAACAAATACTTAGCTTGAATCATTCACATGTTATACATTTTTATTGTATTTCCTCTAAAATAGTGATCATGTGTTGGACTTTAAACAAGAAAATTGTAGGCCAGTAATAATAAACACATCTACCAAACTGTTACCCACTAAAACATGAGAAATAACAGATCATTTAATTCAAGTTATTCATCCATCTGGACTTTTTTTTCCTTCTCTGTGTGCTCTTCTATTCGTCATTTAAATTCACATCTTTGCCACCAGATCTTCTCATAAAGCATGCTGAGCCTTGCTGGACATCTGTTCATAGTATTGCACACCTTGTTGTCTCTGCAGTGACTCAGCAGATAGTTTGTTCTTTTACTTGGATCCTGGCTCTACGTCACAGAGAAAAAACTCATTTGCATTTGTATTGTGTAAAAACCCGGTGGCCAAGCCTTTAAGACTTCTCAGAGTATTTTGTCCGCTGTTGATGTGCTGAAAGAGCTTTTCAGACACAAAGACACTTATGTAATCAGTGAAGAAAGACAACATCTTAAGAGTTTCTATGGGATTATTTAGGATGCAATATAAATGTGTCAGTTCATTCACCCTACAGTGTTTTAAGCTCTCTCAAACACAATTCCCAATGTTCAAGTTCTTTTCATGAAAAAAACGCTGATGCATTTATCAAAACTATTTGGTATTAGAGATGTTATTGTCAATCTCTTCTAGTCATGATTTTGAACAACTTTAAGTCTTCAAAAAAACAGACCAAAGAAAAAAATCCTTGCAGCGTTGGTAAATAGTTGACTTCTCATGCTGAACCACCTAAACGTCAAACGTTAACTTTTTCTGTGGAATTGGATGGAAAGCACAAACCTGTTCTCAGCGGGGGGAATTATATTGACTTTGGTTTTTCCCTGTTTCAACTTTGAGCACCACATTTGTGATATATTTCCGTTTATGAGTGAAATGTTTTGGCAGTGATTTAGATATATGTGTTGACATTTATTAAAAATCGAATTCCCTTAAGATGAACAGCCATTCATTTGTTAGTCACTTGACCTCGTATCTGTTATCTGAGGTCCAATACATGGGTTCATTATCTGCCGAAGTAATGACTCCAATCAGCTAGGTGTAATTTGGGTTAAGCTGAATTGGTAAATGTTAGCATGATACCTGCATGAAAGAAGTTGGTCAAAATGGTCTGTGGACTCAGTCTTGTTGATTTGCTTACAGGTTGAATTGAATTAGTTACCAATGTTAACAAAAGTAGATTGTGTATTTTTGTCTTGACGTTGAGTCCTTTAATTTCAGATTTTGTTTTTTGAGTCTTTTTCTCAAACTTTCTAGGTTTAGAGACATTTTTTTTTACCTTGCAAACAATTCAAGCAAGGGTTTCTCAGGGTTTTGTTCTTGCCAGTCTAATGCAATAAACCAGTATAGATTTAATTATTAGCTGTTAAAGCTTGGCCATACTGAAAACAACATGGAATTGCCATAACAACAGGCAAACAGTCACAGCTGTGGACCGAGGTGGTGTTTGAGTTGCCACACCACCTGTGTTTCCTCATGACTCAGTCATATGCAGGTTAGATATGTAATTATTTGTATTGAGGTTTAAATGGACTTCTGATTAAAGCCATTTACATCACCAGTTGGCACACCCTAATGCCATAGGCTAGGGTTCAGGTTCATCCTCCCATAAACATGGGCGTTAATAATTTATCCAAGCATGAGTCATCCAGAAATGGAACAAGCACCTTACATTTTTCTCTCATTGGATGCCCATTGTTCGTTAATAACACTAATTGCTGCAGTGTCAGAAATGTAAAATGTTTCATTCCACAAGCATTGGTTGTCTCCTTCACTCTGACAACATAACTATTATCTCTTTTCAGCAATTTGTGAGGATTTTGAATATACTAAGTGCATATGCTAGAGGTCAATCTCAAAGGGAACATTTTCAGGCAAAAAAATTGTGATAACAGAGAGAGTATTATTCCCTGACAGGAAGATGTGTTCAGTACTTAAATCAGCCGACGGCCTCTCCAACACCAACTGCCATTAAGCATTCAGTGTCAATTTCACAGCAATCCTCCAGACAGTTCACACTATGTAGATGTAGAAAAGCACTGGTAGTCAGGAAAAGTCATGGCCATCTCTAGTTTCATGTGTGAGTCATGATAAATACAATTATTCAAGTTGTATATTTGAATACTTTTAGGGTTTTTGTGCAGTCTAGCATAGAAAAATAAACCCTGTTTCAGAGCTGCCACATGAAAACTTCAAGCTGTGTTGGAAACTGGTTCAGCTTTTCTATCAAGTCACATGTGAAACTCATTGATCTGTGACTATTGAAATTTTAAAATGTTATGTTTTTGGATTTTCTGGCTTTTGACAACCTCTGATTTGGTTGCATCTTTTCAAAAGTCAATGACGTGTGCACACAGCTGTATGCTAATGCAACAACAAGCACATTCAACTCCCCTCTGATCACAGCTAGGTTAAAAACAAGGAATTTTGAATTCACCTGTGAAAGACACTTTCTCTTGAGCATCTTTACTGTTGATTGTACAAAAATGTCGGACCAATAATTCGATTTTCAAAAGAAGACAACGCACTGAGGGATGTGTGAATTAGCGTGAGGCCTGTAGCGCTAGCCTAGCTGAACAAGACTGAAAGCAGTAGGAAACAGCTAGGCTAACTCAATACAAAGCTGAGAACCTGAACTATATTGTATGTGTTTCTAGTATTTCAGGTAAGTACATGTAGGTTGCATCCTTGTCAAGGTATTTACCAATCAAAGTGACACGGCTAACAGCAGTAGGCTAATATCAAAGGCTACTTTACTATTAACATGTAAGACAGGAAGTGTTATGTTTTAACTTCATGCCAAGGCCACACACACACACACATATTGCTACAAGATGAATGCTTTGAGTTGTCTGGTTGTCAGCCATGGTCTTTGTTGTTTATGCTGCTGGTTTTCTGGCAATCCTTTCTTTGGTGAGTTCCTTCACTGGGGCTTTCTCTGCAAGGGGCATTTAATTCTGAGCTACCAAAGGAGGACAGCCGGAAACCACACACACACACACACACACACACACACACACACACACGCACACACACTCACATGCATACACAGGTGGAAGTGGTGCCTCCGCCGTGGGTCTCTTTCTCTTTTCAAAGTCCCTAAAAGGAAGAAAGAGGAGAGAAAAGAAAGTGTGTGTGAGTCTTTTTTGTTAGTGAGCCAAAGCTAGACTTTTAGGCAAAGCCAACTCTCTACAGCAGCACTCTCTTTCAAAACCACACATGGACATGCACAGACACAGATACAACCTTCTGCATCACAACCCTCAGTCACTTTCTAAAATGTTAAACAACAGGAACACATACTCGATGATATGCGTCCTAAAAAAAAAAAAAAACATGTTCCTCTCTGTGTTTCCTATAGTTCATAATAGAAGACATGAAGCAGCAGCAAACCAACAAACACAGCAACCTGCACCGTGAAGACCAGCACATCACTGTGGAGGAGCTGTGGAAGGGCTGGAAGACCTCTGAAGGTAAACAACGATGAAAAAAAAAAGAGATAAAATCATCAATTAGAAAGCAAAACTAACAATAAATACAAACTAGGGCTGTCAAAACAACATTAATACCAATTTAGTGCAGAAAAATGTGTCAAAAAAAATGAACGCAGATAAAAAAAACATCATATGTTACTGATCATACAACCGTCCACAGGTTTTTTTTTTATACATGATGAAAACACTATGTAATTGAATTAATTTCTCTGTTATATCCACATTAGAGAAACAGCATCAGCGATCGATTTATAAATGGACATTAAACTAGCCTGCTAGCCGGATCCAAGTCATTATGTATCCCAGAACGTTTTGCGTTGGGAAGCGGCCGCTTCAGTACACAATGAATAGGGGATTCTTTTGAATCAATGCAATCATGGCTGATAGTGGCGGCTTCACTTTCATTCATGATGCTGCATATCTCAGCCTTTTTCACTGATGTATTGCACATAAACTGATGTATTGCACATAAATATAGGATGTAGCCAATTTTTTGAGATTTTAAAAGTAGCTACTGAAAGTGTGACTTATGCAACACATTTGATCTTAATCAGGAGCTTGTAACTAATTAGATCATGTTTTGAATGGCTTGACAGTTCCAATATAAACAGAATTTGCAATTTGTATGTACTGCAAAAGCACAAGTCAAACACTTACACTTACTATATAAATACAGAACAAAATCACATGACAAATGACAAAGGTGTGGTAAAACATCCCTTTCGACAGGCTGATGTACTGGTTCAACAAGCCTGTGGGTGGATTTTTCAACAGGCCACTGTTGGGCAAATGCTTTTAGAATGTCCTCATTATTAATACTTTAATCACACAAACATAAATGACACCTTTTGCATTGAAACCCTTAATTGCATTTAGCAAACCTTCAAGAAGCTGTTTCCTTCTACTTTCTCCTCTCCAGTTTCATTATCACATGGGGGAAATATTTGACCCCTCCTCTACTTTTAGTCAGTGGTTTGTTTTCACACACACCTCAATCTGTCGTTCTTTGCCTGCACGTGACCTCGTTTGTTTATGACCATGAAAGTATGTCTAAGTGGTTTTAGATAAATGTCTAACATGTTCTCTTTCTTTCTCAGCCTTTGAAATAAATACAGCCGAAAGTAAATATCCCATCTTTTCAAATATTTGTTTAAACCTTAACAAGGTCTTTTAGTTACCTGCTGTACTCTGCTGCTGGAATCATTACGTGTTTTATAAAGAATAATATATTTACAGTATATAATGCCTAGTATTCATGTCCTGGTTTCAGAATAATGCAGGTTCTATAGAAGACAATTTTAAAAATTGTTTTTTCTTCTTCTCTACTCATCTGTTGTCAAATGTTAAACTCGGAATCGTTACCGGTTACACTAAAGAATTATCCTTTTTTTTATATTGTTCAAGGCTCAAAATGACAAATGTAATTATTTTGTTAACAAAAAAAAGCCATTTAATGTATGAAATAATGTTGGTGTTAAGAATTATTTTTCTGTGCTCCTGTCAGGTCAAAAATTAAAGAAAACTTAAAAGAAAAAAAAGATTAAAACTTTCTAAACAAATATATTTTTTTTTGACAAGCATCCAGCAAAAACCTCTCTTTATTATGGATTAGTTTTTACAACCTTATGTTAAATTCACAGAATATAAATATGTATCAATCACAGGTTTTTTTTCTCCATTACGTATATTTTTATTTTGAAACCTTGACTTCCTTTTTCTACAATACCCACATTCATTAACTTATAAATGAGTTGAAATGAAGGATTTCTTGTTTTATTTGTATTTTTTTTGCACAGTATTGGTCTTTATATTTTACTAATACATGTTATCATTCCCCTCACCCTCTCCACATCCTCTCTTCTCACCCAGTCCATAACTGGACGATGGAGGACACAGTGCAGTGGCTGACGGAGTCGGTGGAGCTGCCGCAGTACGAGAAGAACTTCCGTGACTTCAGAGTCACAGGGAACACTTTACCTCGGTGAGTACGGCTCGCCTCAAAAACAATCCTCCCCTCTTCACAGAATCACTACACAGCATGTGCTCATCTGTGCAGTGCATCCCTACTCTCCTGTCGCTCTTATTCTGTTTGTGTTCTGCACTTTTATGACTGATAGTCTCAATATCAGTGACTCTAATGAAGATGGTCTTGTGTAGCTTTGCCCTGCATGAGCAGTGAAGTGTGTTTATGAGTATTTACACTATTACAGTCTTTGTTACAATACACAAAGGCAGCTTTAGTTTTCATTACTCTATTAAATGCTGCCCACTGCTGGTCATAAACGGTAACACAGGAGGAAAAATGCTCATGAAACAGGTAGATTCTCTACTTCACTATTTGCCCCCCCTGTTTTTACACAACTACTAAATGTGTATTGTGGTAAAGCTAATCCCTATATGATGGTTTAACTCTTTAAAAGCTGAAAATATTCCCAGAATTCCCTCCTGCGGTGCAGTCAAGATGAAAATGTTAACAAACGAGTCCGAGTGTCGACATGAAACTCAGACGTCGCAGAGACACTTGTGGAATGTGACGCGCTGCGAACTGCATGTATGGCATGAGTAGACAGAGGGGCGGGGGTGTTTTGAGATGGGGGGGGGGGGGGGGGGGGGGGGGGGTGTACTGAGGGGTTTCATGTTTCTCCTCAGGCCTGATGAGCGCTGCCATGTTGTCTGGGCCCTTTAAGATGGAGATGAATTCACATCAGATGTTTTCATTCAGTTTCCCTAACTGTAACCTTTATAAACATTTATGCATAAGGTTAAACAACAAGCCCAAACTCTACCTTTTAGAAGGGTTTTTCCAGACCAGCCTTTCTTTTTTTTGTCTTGACACAATGGACACACATGTTAAATACTAATAAATCAGTAACGCAGACTCGCCCTCAAATCTAACTGTGTAGAAAGAAATGTTGTATTTAATGCTGATTTTCTTCTTCATATTTCAGATTAGCGGCTAATGAACCGTTATTTATGTCGATGCAGCTGAAGATATTAGACCAGCGGCATAAACAAAAATTAAACCTAAAGGCACTAGATGCAGTGCTTTTCGGGCCTCCTCTCCGTGAGTAAAACATATTTTTATGACACGTTGTGCACATTCTCTCAAAAGATGCAGACAGAGAACCTTTGACTGTGACTGTAGTCACCCATCTTCTCCTCCTGTCGTGATCTCCTTCTGCAGGTCCACAACATAACTGGATGAAAGACTTTGTCCTGATGGTTTCCATAGTGATCGGTGTCGGGGGCTGCTGGTTTGCCTACGTGCAGAATAAGTCCAGCAAGGTGCACATCTCTCAGATGATGAAGGACTTGGAGAGCCTGCAAAATGCTGAGCAGAGCCTCTTAGACCTGCAGAGCCGGTACGGGCAAATCCCAAAAAAAAGAAAAAGGAACATTAGTTTCTCCGCTTTCTTATCTTTCCTTTTGAATTTATGCTTGCTTGTAAAATCTTGATTCGATCTAGACATTGCCAGACTTTTAAGTGCCATGATGGCATTTTCTCGTGTATTTTTCCTCTCATCTCCCAGGCTGGAAAAGGCTCAGGAGGAGAACCGCACTGTCGCCGTGGAGAAGCAGAACTTGGAGCAGAAGATGAGGGACGAAATCAACGGGGCCAAAACAGAGGCTCACAGACTCCGAGAGCTGCGAGAAGGAGCCGAATGTGAACTCAGCCGGCTCAAATACGCAGAGGAGGAGCTCGTACAGGTACGATTTTAACCATGGTGCTATTTTATTTGTGTTTACATGCTCAGTAATACACAAAGCAGTCCATGGATAATTCTGCTGCTAAAAACAGATTGAACCTAAACCGTTTAGGTGCGAAAAGCTCTGAAGCGAGCGGAGAAGGAGATGCAGTCGGAGCGGTCGGTGCCTGAAGCTCTTCAGAAGTGGCTCCAGCTCACACACGAGGTGGAGGTTCAATACTACAACATCAAGAAACAGAACGCTGAGTTTCAGCTTACATCGCCAAAGATGAGGTAACAACATTCAGTCAATCATATCTTATCAATCATACGATAGGCAGAGCTGGTCAGCAAAGCTTTGCACATCACATAATGTGTTGATCGGATTCATCTGAAGTTCAGAATGTTGTAGAGAGGCTGACAGAGATTTTACTGCCTTTGGATGACACTGATTTGAAATCATCTTCCTCATAAATGATGAAGCAAATAATCTGAAACATGTTTTTTTCCAACATGGTTTTTGGATGAAAGTAGTTGCTCTGCTTTGGAAATTTTGAAAGATTGCCATGCTTTTATTTGATTTACGACTATTAATAATGTTTTTTTTTTATATTACACAACCGTCATAAAGATACTTAAAGTCCTGGGTTCTGACTACCAGGAAAAAAACCTGCAGGAATTAGAACCTAGTAAAAGTGCCTTGCTGATCTTTTTGAGTCATTAGAGCTGTATATCATGTTTACGACTACCACAAACATTAATAGTTGTGCAGGGCTGCAGAGAGAGCTCACTCTGCACTCTGAAAGACGGCCAGTGTTGTTTAAGTGCAGTGCAGTGCAGCCCGGCTGAAGTTGCAGTAGTAGTAGTAGTATCGGATCCTCCATAGCAGTCGCAATCTTCTGTTAAACTCTTGGAGAATGGAGAAATGTGTAGAAGTAATGTTGAATAAGGGTTTAATAAAATACCAATATGAATATAAAGTTTGAATACAACAATGATTATTACAGTATTTAATATTTTTAATAAACTACAATAAGTAAGTAAGTAGGGTTTTTATGATTAAAGGCTTCATTAATTTTAAAATTAATTTTTCGGTGTAATGTGGACAAAGATGCTAAAATTGTATCTCTTTTTTTGCTTTTGTTAAATGCATTTTGCCCAGCAAATTCACAGCAAACCAAAAACACAGATAGCTTTTTTGATTAATCGATCAATCATTATGTATTGCGCCAATTCACAACAAGTGTTATGTCGAGATACTTTACAGAAGAGCATATGCGAGAAGGATGTCTCCTTTGTAGTCCTCGCATTGCTGTTGGCGAGGTGGAGGTCTGAGCAGGCCGCGCATGAATGGGGACAGCGGTGGTTGTGGGGACGACACAGTCTATTGGTGTTGACGATGGTGTGTGTGTGTGTGTGTGTGTGTGTGTGCGTAAGGGTGGGGGGGGGGGGGGGGGTCCATAGCAGCAGGCAGTCCTCACCAGCAATCCTGAGGAACCTACAAGACATGAGAGCTCAGTAGCTCCCATGCAAATATTATGTGGTTAGTAACTAAGATTTACAGATAGCTGCATGCAGTAATATGATGTGAATGCACAGAGAAAGAGAGAGAGCGAGAGAGAGAGAGAGAGAGAGAGAGAGAGAGGATAGGAGCTCAAGGGGCCAGTTCCCCCGGTAGTCTAAGCCTATAGCAGCATAACCAGGAGCTGGTCCATACCTGAGATCATTTGATCATATTTGGGTTTAATTCAACGTTTGACCTTCAGTCGTGCCTGTTAAAGCTGTCAACAATCCTGAGGTTACAGTCAAGAACTTTCTTGGACGATATCTAAAAAACAAAAAAATGAATACTGAAGTGTGTATGCCACTAAGACTAATATTATGACATGTTTTGTGTTTTCTCCAACGCAGGCAGAAAAAATAAAGAAGAAAAGAAGTTCTCTGTTTGGAACTCTTCATGTAGCCCACAGCTCATCGCTGGATGAGGTGGACCACAAGATACTAGAAGCAAAGTAAGTGAACAACAACACACATCCAATGTTTACATTACAGGAAAAGAGGAGAAATAATTATTCTTGATCAGCAAATTGAGTCATGTCTGTTTACTGATTTATAACAACCAATCAAGTGCAAGCTGTTGAACACTTAACAAGGAAAGTCATATTGTTCACATTGAATATCAATATGGAAGTCTTCAGTCAAAATAGGTGAAGCAGCCTTAATATTGTATCGAGTTTATATTGCTATGTCTATATACATTTATACACCATACATGTGAAGGGAAGCTGGAAGCCAGGAGCAGATTGGGCAGTGATCCGGCCACCACTACCGGCCCACCGACCAGGCAGTGTTCAAACACTCAGTGATGGTTGGGTACCACCTGATGACATCTGCTCCTGGCCTAAGGCTACAGATACCTCTTAAACATGTTTTTGTTTGTCTTAAGGTATCTGGAGTTTGCACCCATATAGGTGTGTGTCACATGTTGCTTTTTTAAGATGTTACATACAAACAAGCATCTGTTGTATAAAGTGAACAATCTGACTGTACAATATTTCAAGTATTGGAAAACATAATTCTTTAGTATTCCTGAGGTCGGCACCAAACGTTTTTTTACTGATATAGTAAAAATATTCAGACCTCTTGTTTAATCCAGGCTCTCTTTCAGAGATAAATAAATCCTTTGGGTTTAAAGGCTAAAAAGGGATGAAATTACAAAAAGACAGAACAAAGTTAAATCATCTGCATGGCTGCATTAAGTCCAATATCATAATATCACCAGCTTGTATACCAAAACTGTCTAAATCCTGAAGCATCAATACAGGGCAGCTTCTTACTGGGTGTTATATGAATATTCTTCCTCACTCATGTGTTTTTATTTCAGAAAAGCCCTGTCAGAAGTGACGGCGTGCCTGAGGGAGCGGCTGCACCGCTGGCAGCAGATCGAGAAGCTTTGCAACTTCCCTGTTGTCAACAACTCAGGGCTACCGAGTCTGACAGCCAGCCTCTACTCGGAACACAGCTGGGTGGTCATGCCACGGGTTTCTGTGCCTCCGTACCCCATCGCGGGGGGAGTGGACGATCTGGACGAGGACACGCCTCCCATCATTCCACAGTTTACAAGTGAGTCAAACTCATTTTCAAACAAAAAAAAAAAAATATTGAATGCACATGGGGAAAATACGAAAGCATTTTTGTTGGTGTCTTAATGGCTTTTATGAAAGAGAATAAAAACATACAAAATTTCATGTAGCTCTTGTTTGGTATTTAAAGACAACTTATATGTTTTAACCATATTAATTAATCTAAGAATTCTTGACAATATTATCTTATTGCAGTATTTAAATCTACATTTCAGATTTAAAGGATGGTGTTGTCTGCTAAAAGTAAAAGAACTCTAGTGTTTGATTCTGCAGCGAAACCATTTTTATTAATAATAAATATTAAAGGTCCTAAAATGGATCCTTGAGGAACACCATATTTGATAACTCTTATTTGTTGACTGTATTCTAACTGAAAACATTATTGACCATACCAAGCCACTAATAAAAAATTCAGAATACTTTTGAAAATAAAAATAAATTCTGAATAAATATTTGGAGAAATAACTAAAGCATCACCATTTCTTCCATTCCACAGCAACCACGATGATCCGGCCCCCGCTGACCCGCAGCAGCAGCCTATGCCGTTCTCGCCGGAGCCTACTCAGCCCGCAGTCCTCACTGATGTCCCCGGACCCTGATCTGCTCTCCATGGCCAGCTCTTCCCTCTCCTATCGTCCCGAGGCCGAGGACGAACATATCATGTTCAGCTCGGATAGGAGGGGGTATGTAGCGGTGGCCGGAACGCCGCGGAATGGTTTTACAGTTTGGACTCACAGGTGTTTTATACAAAAAAATTTACACTGATGCTTTCAGCTTGGGGATTGGTGCCTTCTGGTGTTGGGTGACGTCTTCTATGTGGTGGATGCATGAACTGAGCCTGACCTTTATAGGATTTTTTAAACTGATACAGATAACGATTTAACCAATTACTGATATTTTACCAATAACCAATATAGCATTTTTTTTACATTTATTGTATTTTACTTTAACATTATTGTGTTATGACAGTCAGAAAGGTTGTGTTGAAAAATGACGCCAATGCAGGAGTGCAAAAACTGCAGTTCCTAAAGTGTCCACTTGAGGCTGGCTCCAAAAGCCACAGTACTCACATACACACCCATTCAAATAAGCCAATTTTTACCGCAGAAATTAACATGTTTACAGCCTGGTACAATAAACTATTTTTGTCTGGATAGTTCATGTCTTAATAAGCACACACTGTACAAGATTCTTTTTTTTTTTTTTGAAATGTAATCATTTTCATTTTATGAAGGATTCAAGTTATGCATGGTAAGGGTTTTTCCAAGAGGCTTTAGGCTCACCTAAGCTAACTTTTGCCTGTTACCAGGTTGACTGAAAGTTAGGTTGAGATATCATTCAGCCATCATTCAGATTCAAAACTCTCATTCAGTAACCAATAGGTGAGGTCACTGAGACTATCTCCATGTTGTTTACAGTCAGACTGAGCAATGTCACAGTCTGGGAACTGTCTTACAAGAGTAATTTACACTCGCTCAAGTTCACTTATTTGCTTTTATGCCTCTGTTGACACCCCGCCTCCACCAACTGCCCTCTGTGCAGTGTGCAGACAGACACAGCAGACTACACTGTTGTTGGCACGCTCATTATATACCCTTAGATTTATTTGACAGCTTGATTAAGCACAACTTTACTTAGGGTTGTTAGATTATTGATTAACACATTAAAAATGTGGTGAGCTGGATGGCCTAGTGGTTGTGTTGTGGTTCCCATGTACAGGGCTAATTGTCCTCATCGCAGCGGTCATAGGTTAGAGTCTGAAATAAACATTAGATCTGTTAAAGTAGATTAAGACAACATGGCCCATGATCCTTTGATTTAGTTGTTCAATGTGTACACATTTTTCATAGACTGGCCTTGAGTAGTCTGTCAGTGTTTGAGTTGTGACTGAGCTTTGTCTCCTCTCCTCTCAGGGATCCGGCTCAAGAAGGAAGCTCAGACACCGACTCCCTCAGCTCCTCCATGGGCCGAAAGCAGCTGCACAACACTGACGCCCCGTACCGTAAGATCTCCCGCGAGGAGCTGCTGCTGTTCAGCCAGACCACAGAGCTCCCTGCATCCACCCCTGCCACCTCCTCCTCCACCCACACCAGCAGCAGCAGCAGTCTCAGGGACTCCACGCCTCCTCCTCTGCCCCCAACCCCGGCCACCACGCCTTCCGGCCCGCCCTCAACCTCCCCTTCCCCCGCATTGGAGCACCACTCGTTTGCACACAGCGGCTCGCCTGACCTCACCCGCATAATCCCTGAGTCACAGAGCGCGACCTTCTCGCAGGGGAGCGCCACCTCTCCAACGGGCAAAGGCGTGTACAACGGCATCCTCGAGAAGTCGTACAGCTTCGGCCAGCTTCCCGCCAGCATGCTCCCCAATGTGGGGCGCTACCCGTCCCTCACCTCCCTGGACTCGGAAGGCCGGAGCGTGGGAAGGGAATATAAGCTCCAGAGCACCTCCTCCCAGGACTCCAGCGATAATGGAGAGAAAATGAAGCGATCCTCATCCAAAATCAAAAGCTTATTTAAGAAGAAAAAATAAAAACTTGCAGAGTGAAATAGTGTAAGAGGGAGATAAAATAGAAAGAGTTGTTTTAGCCCGTATACTTAAAAAAAAAAGGACATTACTGCAAGCTAAAACAGTTCATTGTCTCTCTTATTTTCTTGTTTTTTGTCTTCAAAGATGGAATGTAGCTCAGTCTGGGTGCCTTTTTAAAAAAAAAAAAAAAAAAACTCGGACTGGTAGCCTTATTTTTCAATAATGCCTTTTTATTTAGTTCACTCATAGCCTCACAGGGAAACCTGCAAAGGTCAAGGAAAATGTCAATGAAAGGTCAAGGGTCATGATAGTTGTCATCCAGACTGCAAAAAAAAACAAAAAAAACAAACACGTGACCTCCTCACTGTCTTCTGTCTGTTTTGGTCTTGAAAAGCCACTATGTGTAAGGGTCTAAAGGTGCAGTCCATACATTTATTCTCAAGCACACAAAGTCCAGATCTAAAGTCTGCTCTTCCTACTGGACGGATTTTTAATCACACCATCAGTAGTGACAGCAGCAATAAAGATATTTCCTTCTTTAAGTGTCCAAACTACTTCTCCCTGCTCATATCGGGATTGCATCTTATGAAGTCTAAACTACTTGATTAACCTCCTTTGAAACTAAAAAAAACAAAATGAAATCCTGCTAAAAGTTTGTTGCACTACTGCTTTCCTGGTGTTTTGGGGAAAGAGCCGCTGCTTGCGGAGTACATATTGAATAAAGATATAGAGATGAGAGGTACACATGGGCAGCAGCAGTGAAGATGCAGAACAGAAAACTACAGAGCCAAAATGATCTGATGCGTCTTCACTGTTACTTCTTATAGATGCCTCGATATATATAAGTATATATAAACTTTGTCTTCACATTTTTATGTTGTTATAGATGTTTTGAAATAGATTTATATGGGTGGGGCTTCCTCTAAACTGTCATTTACAGATGAAAGTTGATTGAATATGCAGATTTAACTCCCTGTAATGTCACTGTCCCTTATTACTTGATAGCGTGTTAACTGTAGCCATACCAATATCTCATTTTCTTTTTTTTTTTTTTTTTTGTCTTAAACACCCTAAAATATTTTGTGTCACTACCAGATTTTGATCAAATCGTCCTGTGCAAATGATTATTTTGTGCCATATTGACGCCAGATTTAAGGGTAGATGAGTGCCAGGAAGTCTAAGGAAGAACTTTTTATTATTACTATTATTTTTTTTAGCATCTCTCTACGTCGACGATGTGACCTCTTCCATCAATATTTCCAGGCTTTTAGAAAAAAAACGCGAAACACCCAAGATTATTTAAAAAAAAAAAGATAAAAAACAAAGAACTTTTTGATCCAGATCTGATTGATACAACCGTTTCTTTTACCCTTTCCAACACACACTATAAGCTCGAAGCCGACCCATGCAATACAGCCCCCGTTTCCCCGTTCCTCACCTTTGGGTTTGCACCGAGCGCACTGATGTCAAGACTCCTGCTTCACACTGTGATTTCTGCCTTCTACCCTTCATCCTTTGTCACTGCAACGCAAAAATGTCATGTACGACAAAACGACACAAGGATCCAGTAGTTTTGATTTTTGAAATTAATATATATATATATATGTATATTTGGATGGTTGTGGCGATACAGCACACAGTGAAGGAAATAAAAGACAGAGCTGCAAGACGAGGAGAACATGAATGTTTACGAGACATTAGGGTTTGTTTTTTTTTGGAAAACATTTTGTGCGTGAATATTTGTATACTGTAGAAGAATTAATAAAAAAAAATGGAGGCATTGGAGACGTTTCAAAGTCGTGTTTGATGCTTTGTTTTTTTGGTTGGTTTGCAAACTGCTTCCTCGATTTGCATAAAAGATCGTTGGTCAAAATTGTTTCCGAGTACTTCAGAATGAGGGGAATCCAAGAGGCTGCATTTTCTCTGCAACTTGAGCTCTAAACTCGACTCCTCTCTTTTTTTAGAAAACAGTCCGGGACCCTCCTCCTCCTCACTGCAGAGCACAGAAGTGTGGAGAAAAGAATCATTCTGACACACCATCAGTCTTCCGAGTGGGGGAAAGCGTGATGCGCAGAAGAAAAGCATGCATGATTGCTTTATCAATATAAAGTGAACGTGATGAAACTTTTGTTGATGGCTCATCAATTCAGCACACTGGGAGAGGAGTGGGAGGGGGGGGGGGGCGACGTCTGCCTGTGATAAATGTGTTGTTTGGGCTCTACTGTACACAGCAACAAATCCCAGCCTCTCACACAGGCCTGCCTTTAAGTATGCAGTTTTTGTGATGGCCACATGGTGTCAGCAGAGCTCCAGAGAAAACAGAACACAGCAGCCACTCCCTGACAGAGAGCGACACATTCAGTGAGTGATGTTGAAGACAGATACAGAGAAAAAGACTTGATTTCATCCCCCCAAGTCAAGTACAAATGTTTTGCTGATGGATTTAAAACAAGTTTCTTTCTTTACTACTCAGCGTTACAGTAAGAGCTTTCCTGGACATTGGAAGGTAAAGTATAGCAGCTAAAATATAAAAACATCCTAACACGTTCCCTGAAAATCAATTTTGAGTTTAAAAGTACAACATATCTTAATATCTAAATAAAGGCTTTCATGTGCAGTTAATCCATAATCTCATACTTTCTCTGCCATGCGCCCTCATGGAGGAGGAACATATGTTGTTTAAAAACACACAAATCAATAGCATTTATTTACCCGTTCTATGTCCTCTAATCACATCTACTTTAAATACCAACATTTAAAATATTTCATTTACTATGTATATGTTTGTAACTTTAAATGTAACACGACAACATTCAAATCTTCTAGGCTTCTTTGAGGACTCAGAGAGAGCACATACTGTATGTCCGACGTCACAATTTCAAGGTGCACTATGTAGAGACATTTGAAAGTTGGAGAGGTGAAACAATTCTATGCTATGTTTTCTGAACTAAATACACAAAATTTATTCAAAGGAAAAAAAATGGGTCCCTGGAACACAGTTTGGAGCTAAAAAGCAACAGAAGAGTTATGGTTTCAGTGCTGCAGCCCCCCACCATAGCTTCTCGTGTAGCATTTTATCTTCAAACAGTGAGACAGGGAACAAATATTCCTCTGAGGACAGTTTGTGTAAGGAGTTATGAACATATATCACAGAATCTGTACACTTCTCCAACTTTCACATTTCTCTATGACAACTCCATAATGTAGTGCACCTTTAAAGTTCTAACTTAAGGAAATGGGTCACATTTAAATACAAAGACAGCAACTGACAGCCTTTTGCAAAGCTGCACAAAAAGTTGATTTTAACATCAATACCACCACTGACAAGGCAAATAGCCGTCATTGTTTAGGATTTTTGCCTTAGCAGCACCTGGAGTGGCCAATCAGATTCCAAAGGAAGGCAATTGGTCACCGCCCCGGCCTGGACAAACTCCCTTCATGTCGCCCTGTGAACTGTTTTCCAAACCTTTAAATTAAAAAATTCCAAACTCAAACCAAGAAGTGGAAATTCCAAACCTGTTAGACGAAATTCCACGCATGTTCAAAACCTGTGCGTACAAATTTCAAATGCGAAGGAGGAGGACATTTTAAACCAGGAAGTGGAAACTCCAAACCAAGAGGTGAAAGCAATATCCAAAATAGAGCCTTCCTTTCTTATTTATCATGATATGGACTATTTTCTTTTGTCACTAGAAACATATACATACAGGCAATGATAACTTATGTGAAAATTAATCAAATAAGCAAATGTAATTTTGAATACTGCATGCCTTTAGAAACAGTTTTGCATGTCTAATGATACATTTCAACCAAGCGGATGTTCTTCACCCTTCTGTTGATTAAGGAACCGGTAAGGGGAAACGGTGAAGATGAGCATATAGCATAATATGCTGCAGCTTTGCACAGTCGATCTACCAATCTGCATGTTGATCAGTTCATGGATTCATACATTCATTTGTGCAGAACGCTATTTGAATCAGTTCTTTAACTTGCATCACAGAATGATCCTCGATTCTTAAATTGCTCTGATGCCTCATCCTCACAACCCCTTCACCCTACTACAATGTAACATTTCTAAAAGCGACACATTTAGAACAGCATGCAGCTGCTCCTTTGTTCCACATTGTTTTCCTCCTTTGCTTCCTCCCTTCCCTCTCAGGAGCAGGCTGCAGGTTGGGGACACACAGTGGATATTTATTGCCCCTCAAACCGCACCGCAGTGTAGTAATTGGCCCCACAATGGTGCTAATGCTCGGAAAGGGAAGCAGAAAGTGATGCAAGAAGGCGGCAGATCGTCTCCTTAATGACTGCTGCTAGGTGAGGTAATGAATAGACTGAGGGGCTTAAAGGCAGAGCATATATACATAAAGAGGATGTGCATCTGCAAGGATTCACCCAGTCTGCTACTCTGCTTCAGTATCCCTCTCCTCCCTGCAAAAAGCAGCCTCCATGCTTTCTTTATCCCATTCACTCTGCACCCTCTGCCTCTCTCGTTTGGATCCCATTCCTGTGCAGCGTAATGGCTTTATTAGTGTGGTTAATGCAGCGTGACCTACTGGGGCCTGTCTCCTACCTTTTTCATGTGCCAAAAAAAAAGAAGAGAGAAGGTGGACTGTTTTCAAAAGGGAAGCAGTGCAGGAATGAACTATAAAAGGGCAGCACTAAAGAAAGAGAAAAGGCACACTTTGAGGAACAAAGTTAGAACTAAAAATGACAGAAATGACGAAATAATAAAGGAGAAACTGATCAAAATGGAAACAATCGCAACACATAGCAGCAGACAGTTGTAGTCCATGATGTTAGCAGCCATGTTTAGCCAACAGGGACAGGTCAAAATATCAGCTTTGAATCAGAGTTGCTCAGTGGAAATGAATGTGTCTGCTCCAAAACTCTGCCAGGGAGACTCACTGGCAGTTTGAGGTGCAGGATGATGAAGCTGTTGTAGTCATGACAACGGTGTAACAACGGAGTCAGACCAGAAGTTTGCAGTGTGGAGGCTTTATCCGAGTGATTACGCTGTACATGAGAGTTCTGTTTGCAGGGTCGTTTTGCTTCCCCCAAGTGGCAAAATGGTAAAGATCTGTTTCTGATCCAAAGATCATCACGGCACTTCTTACAAAAATCTAAGTTTTCTGATTACGTTTGAAACATTTTGTTTATCCAGTTACCTTTCCAGTCAAATTGCTTTAAAATGTAACAAAAGAACGACACATTGTCACCCTCGCCCTGCAAAAAAACAGCAGCTTGGTCCTTAGCCTTGAGCTTTAAAATGTGACTCTCTCTCGGTTCCACGCCATCAGTTTTGCACCTGCAGATCTCAGCTGGTAAGTGAGCAATAAAAAAAAGAAAAACATCTGGTTAGACTTTCAAATAGAGCAGTGAAGTGGGGGGTATTAAAGAAGAAACATAATTTTAATCTGAGAAGACCTTTGAGTGTGGAGCGGTCATGTTACATTTGGTTAATGTTGCCAAGTGGTTCAAATTTGGTTTGTTTAGGGTCTGTGTCCACAGACAGCGCTGACAGAGCCATTGTTGCTAAGTTACAACAGTTGACTTCTGCTTCCCTCTGTAATTTCCGTTGTGCTTAATATTTGCTTGAATTCAAGGGAATATAAATCAATCAATCTTTATTTGTCCCGCTCCTTTTTGACTTTGATTGGTCGGTGATGAAGAAGTGGCTTTAAACAGCATGGCACTGTTCTTAAGGTTGAACTTCGACTTTGAATGGAGCGACAAAAATCAGCCGACACAGAGAGTGTTTCAGCACTCAGGATGATGAGCGCTGAAAAACGCTGAACTACATTCTGTGGATACAGGCCCTAATGCTCCTGTGATAGACTTTCAGGTTGCGTTGTTTTAAGCAAACTGTGTACACAGAGGTACCCAGTATGCCTTGCTGATCCAGTCCTGGACATGTGTAGGAGATGTAGTAGAGATGTAAAGATAAAGACTTACTACAAACCGGTCAATGGCCCGGTTTCAAAAGAAACGTTCCAAAAGAAACGTTCCAAAAGAAACGTTCCAAAAATGTGCCCATCTGTATGCTCTGCAGAAACAACAGAATAAAGAACAAGCAAAGCCTGTGCTACAGTAAGATGCTAACATTAGCAATCGCTTGCCCAAGCAGACCTGAATATTAAACACCGTCTCCGGCCACAACATGCCGAAGGTAAGTGTATAGAGCCTGTTGTGTGCCACGAATTTGAACTCAGGTCCCACGTAATACAGTCATGTTTATCTCTTAAACTCTTTTTAAAGTTTGTGATTTTGCTGCTGAAAGACGTCTTAATATAAGAGATTTTGTCCTGTAGCTTCAGTATCAGCCACAGTGTCATAAACACTGGTTGTAAGAGGAGTTATACATCCGGAAGGTTGAGTTGGAGCTCACTATTTGACAGCTCTGTTGCTCTGTGACATTGCTGCAGTGACCCGCATCACATTATGAGCCCAGCTGACACTCAAAGTGGCTGCTGTGATCGGAGGAACGAGTCTAGGGGTTTAGTTTAATTTACTTTAGTTGATGAAACAGGACGAACTGAGACAGAAGATAAAACGATGACAAAGGAAAGAACAAAAAAATGATTTTTTTATTCCCAGATTAGAATTAAAACCTTAAAAAATTAATCATTTAGAATTCCTGCAAGGCTCATCTCCTGGTTTATTGAGCAACTTATCGAGCGACGAGACCTCCCTGGCAATTACTGCGTCGGCCAATAGGAAAGTAAAAGCGATACCTGAGATTTTTTGCAAGTCACACTGAACCTCTGAAACTGAAAAAAAAAGTATTTGAAT